TAAATTTATAAATTTTATTTGCTTTAAGTTGATAAATATAAAAATGAATCACTGTAATATTTAATATAATGATTTGTATATATCGATTCTAATATTATGAGTATAGCAGTACATAATAATTATAATGATAGATAACCATAAGCTGATTATAATTGATATATAACCGAAGCGATTATAATCGATATATTATCTAACATAATTCTAATTGTTTGGGTTATATATCAATTATAATTACTTCAGTTATATATTGATTTATATTTTTTTCATTATATATTGATTAGTATCACAATTGTTATAAATCAGCAGAGATGATTTATATCATTATATATCCTTCGATTATCAATCGATGTATAACTCTCTATTTTTTTTCCTGATGATAGACCAATTCTATTATATATTGTAACTCCAGAATTTGGCTAAACTAATTCAACTCTCGTGTAACCTATAGTGGCTAAGTCAAAATAGACATATTAGATTTGGCTAGTAGTTTATCTATAGGTAAGTAATTGTCTCTTCTCTTTTAGTCCTTCCTTCTTTCTATTCTTTTACTAACTATTGTTCTTCTCTTGTCTATCTCAACTTAGAATTACTCTATGTCGAATCGAGGTTGGAACTCTCTTATTATGTTACAGTTTGGTCATGTGACTTACGGCGAGTGATCGACCTGTAGTTTTGGTGATTTATAGATGAACAGTTGGAATAACAGCAAGATTAACGATAGTCTATTAGTTTGTATAAGATGCTACTTTCACTTTTATTAAGGGTCAGGTATTTACTAGTACTAAAAGATTATTTTGTATTAGAGATGACTTTCTCTTCTCTGGGGCCGTAATGTCCTTTATTTATAATAAATGTCTTATTTCATTTGTAATCAATTTATACCATTAATGCACAATATTTCTTATGCTCAATATATTAATAAATGTAATAAAAGGTCAATATATCATTTAATGCATATATAGCCGAAGTAGCAAAAGCAACATAAGTACCATAAGTACTATAAGTAACATTTCCATTACTTTGTCTGTGACCTTGGATCGGATAAGAATTGTCACCCTAATTTGGACACCTGTGATTCCAAAAATTGGGCTCACAATAGCATTAAATAACGCGAAACACTATTTTAGAATATGCTAAGTTTTTAATAAATAAAAATAGATTAAATTATATAGTAACATGATATAATAAATGTAAAATAAATAAATAAATAAGTTTAATTTTTTAAATTGAAAGTAAAGTTTAAAATTTATTGTATATATTATAATAATCAGAAAAAATCTCAACTCTTGCTTAGTCTGTAATTGTCAAATAAATCCTGATCAATATCATAGAATTACAAACAATGTACTAAAAAAAGCAAAAAAAAATGGCTTAATATAATTATCTAGAAGTTGGAAAGCAATTATGTTATTTTCATTATCTTAGCATAATTGATCACAATAACACATATAAGTCTTCAGCCAATAATGAAACAGGCATAATTGAGTTTGAATCTTCTATGGAAATTGATAAATTAGATAGTTCAACAGAAACCCTATTAACTGATAATGAAATAAAAAAATTAAGTGACAACGAATTAGTTAATTTAATTGAAAAACTAAAAAAAGAGCTAAAAAGTAAAGGAAAAGATGTTGATTATAATAATGCCAATAAGTTAACATCTAATAATCATAATAACATAATTATAAGCAAATTGTTAGCTTTTGGTAATAAAATTGCTTTAATAACTAAAGTCCTCTATAAAAAACAAAGAAAAGAAAGTCAAGTACTTAAGTTGAATCCAGATAATTTTCAATTAATGCTCGAGAATTCTGAACCATTATTAAGAAGATTTTTTAATGAACTATATGAAGCATTAATTCTAAATAGACGATCTGCTTATAATAAGAAAGAGAATAAAAAAAAAGTAGTTAATATATGCTATTCAATAGCAGCAATTTATAATAAATTTGTTAACAATTATCCTTTAGAGATTGGTTTATATCTTGTAGCATCTGGTGCATCATGTGATGCAATTAATATTATGCATAATGCTGGTATTACAGTTTGTTATAAGACTGTAGAAAACTATAGAAAAAAGATCACAAGTGAACATCCAAGAAATATTTAGGAATATTTTACTAAAAAGGTAATAATATTCTTTTACATCTATTTAACCTTAGTCATAGTTCAATTAGTCCAAAAACAAATACTGGTTTGAATAGGTTTGTGTTTCAAATAATGACTTCATAAATTGTTAATTAGAATTAGTTAATTTTTTTAATAGAGTAACAGCTTTTTTGTATACAATATTGATGACTATTATAACATATATAAAATAAGATGTCCTGATACTGTATCACTCTCAGTACCAATCTATTTTGCAACTTATATTAGCAAAGAAATTTCTAAGTGCACTCCTATTTCAATTAATTATAACAGTGGTTCAGTTCATAACTCTAAAAATGTAGATGTGCCATTAATTTGTCTAAATTTAATCATGAATTATTATAGAATCTTTAATCTTTCATATTCATAAAGGAAGAATAGGTTGCTTCACAAAAAACAGAGTTACTTAATTTTGATAAAATCGATCTTCTTTCTGTTCATTGCTATGATAATGCTATTAAAAATCTGCAAAAAGAAAGAAGTACAAAATGAATAAGATTAGTTGGAATTAAAAAGAGCAACCTTTATTCTTTAGATGACTATTTAAATGCACTAGAAATAATTTTTTTTATAAATTGGAATATTGGATGCACTAATTGTGTAATTCCAATCATTGCCGACTGGCCTGGGCAACTTTTTATACAAAAAGCATTAATATACTTATATTTATAAAATAAAAAATCACAGATACCTGCAGATGTTAATGCCTTTGTACCTATGCTAGGCCCTTTGCATATATCACTAAAT